CAGTCATCTTCTCCACTCATTGCTTGTAGACAACCTGGTCTTTAAAAGCCAGCAAGCTATCCCATAAAACTGAATTCTGCTTTGCTTTCCAGGGACCTATTTTCGACACCTCCACTCTGCTTTGTTACCCAGGGAGCAGCAGCTTAAGGACTTACTCATGAGTAGACATGTGCAGGACTGTGCTGGGTGTTGTATGTTTGCTGTGCAAAATGCCCGAATTTGGAAGACTCACCTTTCGCCCCGGCCTCTGCCACTGGCCTCATCTGCTGTGGGAAGGCTGCCCCTTCTGTGGATTGAATTCAGACCCCAAACTTTAGAGAAACTGATTCTTTGATGTGTATCACTAAATTTTGTTATATTCATGTTTAGAACTAATTTTTAAGAGCAGTCGTATTGTAGAATACGTATGGGGCAGAATGCCAGCCACACTGGCTCCCTTTCCAAACTCTGAGCAAGCTGGTCTTAAGTCCTCTCTACTTCTCGCCAACCATGTTAGGAACAGCAAGAAGGAACTTAACTAGCATTAGCTACTTGTTGGTCTGTATCATGCTTACACAGAGGTGGAAGAAGCTGACATGTGGGGAGAGCTTCAAGGATCCTGTTGTTCTTGTCAGAAAGAATGATTAATGTACCACTTGGCCTGTATTTAAGCTCTGATAAAATGACCCAACTACATAATGAGGAGAGATGAGGCTTAAGAGTAAAGCCCAGATAAGAAGCTCCAAGGGGCCAGATTTGGGGCCCATATTCTCATTCTTACTTTACACTCTGGTGCCTCCTTTTAACACCTTGTGTAGTGTACTACAGATTAAAAAGACAGCCATTTTAAAAAAATAAAATTGCTGGAAATATGCAATTGAGGCAGTTGTATCAGATTCCGAGCTCAACAAGTCTTGCTCCCTCTTCTGGCCAACAAAATAACGTGTGCGGATTAAGTCTACAGTACTTATGTTTCTTAAAACATACCTTCACTGAGAGCTGAATAAAGATTCTGGAGAAATTGAGATCTTATTTTGCAAACCTGACAGAAGTAACAGCCCACGTTAAGAGTTTTCCCCTTGGATAGACACATTTTAAATTATTCTATAACTTTGTGAAATACTTCAGTTCTAACAGTCTTGAAGTAATTTCTTCTATTTTCATTTGAGAAAGAATTCTAGAAAATTCCACATTGTTTGCATCCGCATCGCCTTTTCCCTACAACTGTTTCACCTTGTGATATCACCTCTTTTCCTATTTAAAATAACTGAAATTCTTGTCCATTTTTGGTTCACACTAGGTAGTGGCATGTACATTCAATACAATGTGCCTACGAAGCTATATCATACAATGTTGTGGTAGACAATGTTTCACTGGGCATTTAGATCTCTTTCCCAGGCTATTTGATATTTGCGCAGACACACATATACATACACAACCTCTTGTGTTTCTTTTATTGGGATTTATTATTTTGCCCATTGCCACTGACACACTACTGCTGCGTGCATAATAACAAAGTTCAAGATGGAAACTGTAGCTGTAGAGATCACCACAGAAACATTAGGGAGAGACTTCTTGTTTTCATACACATTTCAGTTTGCCCCAGGAACTGAAGCCATTTCACTTTTGTTCACATGGAAAGAGAATGGGCCCACGATTTCAAACACGAGATGGTAAGCTACTTCAGAACTTCAGGAGACACACATTGTTCCTTTCCAAAGAGATGTAAAAAAATGACAGCACAATTCGGATACTTCTAGTCAGAAAGATCTCAGCACTATCAAAAGCCATGGTACACCTGTCTTGTGTTTTCCTCCTTCCTAGATCTGTGATAACATGAAAAGCTGAGAGAAGGAAAAGACAATTGAAAGGTGGCAATGTGTGGATGAGAGTAACGTTACCTTTCTTGATTCTCAACTGATGAACAACTGTGTCCCTGCATAGGTTGGGTTGCAGCTCCCAACAGTCGTAACAGGTATGGCCAGTACTGGGGGACTGCAGTCGTTACAGTCAAGATACTCATCCCTAAATGAGGCAAGGCAATTGTGCAATAACATTTTTTTCTGAAACCTGTGTCTCATCTCATATGAGAATATCAAGACCAACTGCATAATCAGGTTTCTAAGAAATATTTTCTTACTTCAGTAGGGCTTACGTCTACCCAGCTGGTCCAAGTTGGACATGGTGAGCCATGCTTAAACCCCAATGAAATTATTAAGATGTAAATGAGGTAGATGGAGTTATGTATCCTGCCACTTGTGCAGTCTTGGACAAATTATATAGCCCTAGTGCAGCACCAGAAGAAAGGACTAGTACTTTGTATTCAGAGAATCTTCGGAGGATCTCCATAAGAATCAACTTGATGGCAAGTCAGACTTTCTCCTAATTGTGTGTAATCAAACATACGCAAACTCTAATGTATACCCAGCACTTACCTCCCACTGGCCTTTGGTGGGTAGCCATTGCCTTCTCAAGTTGTAACACAAGACTGTGTAGCTTGTCCAAGCACTGCAATCACAGAAATGTGATCTCCATTTTTTTGAAAAAAGAATTCTCCCTTCAGAAAAACCACATTTGCACAAATAGCATGATCCCATGTTAATATTTTGGTGGGACTTTCTGCTCAGCAAAAGCTCAGAAGTATACTGAATATTTATCTGTCTACAAATATTTGAAGGGTTGTCATGTGGAAGATGAAGCAAGCGTATTTTCGGGAAGATTGAAAGATAGGACCAAAAGTAATAATTTAAATTACGAGACAGAGGTTTTTGTCTTAGCTCTAGAAACAGCTTCTTGGCAATAACATGTCCAACAAGGGACTGGACTGCCTTAAGATGGTGGTGGACTCTCCTTCACTGGAGCTTGTCAATGGTGCTGTAGTTGCTGATTTCCTTCTTTTGTCAGTAGGGCTGGATTATTTGGGGGTCCCTTCTGGCTTCACAATTCTACAATTCTATATATTTTCTTCTGTTTACTAGTGTTTCCCAAGCTGATGAAAGCTGTGCATATTGTAACTTGTCCGTGAAAACTGCAGAAAATGTGGCTTCCTCTCTTAATGAAATCCTTAGTTATCTTTAAAAGTTACCACAAAGAAACACACAAGAATATAAAAAGGTTTAAAGTACAAAGGGCTTTGAAGATTAGGTTTTTAAGTGATACTTGTTTCAAGCTGACAGGCAGCGTTTTAGAAATCATAGCCAACACTCTGTTAAGATAAAAATGTGTTACCATTTAGTCATAAAGAACAGAAATAACAAACTGACTTTGAGGGGGGAAAAGTTTAATAATACAGTCATAACTTTAGTACCAGCCAGTAAAAATGTACTGTAAAAATGTTCTGGATATTAATTTACCTCAAAGAGCTTTACAGTGCAAACCTGTACACATTTACTCTGAGGGAAGCATTCAATGAGCTTCACTCTCAGATAAAAATGTGTACACGATTGTTCTGTTAACAGTTGTAAATATTTGTAGCAAAACCCACCAGAAGAACTCTCCTGCTCACGTTTCACTGAAGTGAATGGGAACTCTGCATTGTGGGCCAGCCCTCCTGAGGGGACTGTGCCCTTGCAATGTAGTGAGGTAGACAACAGAAGAAGAGACGTCTCTGTTATTAGCACAGAATTTTAAATCCTGCAATAACATTTTTTAAAGGTACAGAATGATAATGTTAAGAGAGGTACACATGAAATGTTTGATTAATGCTTCACTCTGTACAACTCAAATATAAACTTTTTAAAAAAATATTAAGACATTTGAGTGCATATCATGTTCTAGACGTTAAGGGGAAACAGGAAATGCATACTGTTCACCTCCATTTTTGCACTTTGCAGTCTGTTTAAATAAACAATTATTTACAACTTTCATATGAACAACAGTGCATCCAAACCAAAGTGTGCATTTTTAAGAAAAATTATTGCTCCTGGCCAAGGCTTTCTTTTATTCAGTCTCTTATATTATTTATTTATCTATCCATTTATTTATATATTTATACACTCATACTCCCCCTCCCTGGTTATTTTCCAAGTATGTAACAGATAGTCTAATAGACTCCTAAATTCTTCCAGAACTGACTGTAGAGGGGAGGAGACTCCCGGTGGATCTCAGGAATGCTTAGAAGTGCATTTTCCTGCTTGCAGAGCCATATTTGTGGAAGGCTGAGAAGGAAAACAGAGGTTTAGTGACTCGTCAAGTCTGCAATCAGCTGTTTAATACTGTTCTAACTTGCAGAAGCACCTGCCCGCCTCTCCTGAAACTTATTATACTACCTGGTGATACTCACTTTGAAATTAAAAGGTCCTTTCACGCCCATCCAAAAACCCCAGCTTCTTTGTGCCTTCTGCAACTCTTCATGGCTTCTCATTACTAAGATTTAAAGCCCCACCAAACTGATAATTACAGGTTGGAATCAAACAGTGGTGTGGAGGAGGCGTTGGTACAGCTATTTCAGCCTGATTATCCTCCAGGAAAGCAGACACACAAACTGATGTTTTAGAAGGAAAAAAGGTCAGACCAGCTCTGTTCTGCTCTTTCCAGATACCTTCCTTAAAGAGAGCCTGGATCATCAGGTAATTCATGTAAAAATATTCCACGTTTTAAGTGGAAGACTATTCCACGTTTTAAGCGGAAGCATTTTGCACTGTCTGTGCCCTAGACCTCTCCCCTACCAGCAGTTCTCAAGGGCTTTGGAGGTCATTATGGGGTCCCTGTTCTTCACTGGGACCAACTTTTACAAGCAGTTGTGACTCTTTCTCACACCCACTCCAACTTTGGCCAGCCCCAAAACAGGCTGAACTCCAACCCCTAAGATAAAAACCAGCTGAGAGCCCCTTGCACATGATTTTTGCCTTTATGAGCCATGCATGTCTGGCCTTTAGTTGTTCAGAAATAAACAACACACTGGCTTGTAGCACTTTATAATATCAAGTTTTACTTGGCATGAACTTTGGTGGACGCTAGCCCACATTTAGCTGCAATGGGCCCCCGAAACCTTTATGTAAAAAAAAAAAAAAACCCTAGTTTTTAATGTCCCCCAAGATCCTTTGTTGCTCTTGCTGCCACAATCTAACAGCTTCCTTGGAAAATCAGTGCAGGACGGAAGGTGGAAGGCAGCCTAATTAAAAAAAAAACAAAGCACATGCTATGGTATGCCATGGGAAATGTACACAAGCCACCGTAAAGGTAACTCATAAAAGCGAACACACTCGGCCGGCCTTTCCTGTTTCTGGCCGTTCTGATCGGAGGAGACCTACCGATTCCGATCGATATGGAAGGGCTTTCCGGAGCGACCTTTTACTGCCTTCCTCTGAGTAAGCACCTCTTATCTGCCAAACGGAGAAGGGAAAGTGAGCGGGACCCTCAAGTGAATCTTCCACCCACCCTGCCCTGCCACCGTCCGGAGCCTGCCTGGGGGTTCTTTCTCTTCCTAAAGCCAGAGGCCATCCATGATCGCGCCCCAGTCCCGCCTAACAGACAAGCCAAGCAAGGGCATCGGCCCCCAGGTCCCTCTGTCCTCCCTCTCCAGACATTTCCAGAGGGGCGGGAAGCCTCGCCGGCGCGGCGGACCCCAAACACTCTAATCGTCGCCCGAAAAGAAGCTCAACCTTATAAGGCTGAAAGCCCTCCTCCCCCCCCCAGGAGGGCGGGAGCGCGCACGCGCAGTTCTAGAAGGCAGGCTCACACACCTTCCCACGCGGTTCCCTCCGAAAGGCGCAGCGCGGGGTGTGCGCGCGAGGGAACTGACAAAGGCGCGCGCCCATAAATCTTTTTTTTTCCCTTTGCAGGGCTCCCTTGGGGCGCGCGCGCGCGCGTCGGTGCAGGTCGCGTGCCTCCCTCGCGCTCGCGCTCTTTCTCGGCTCACTCCTTCCTCCCTTCCCGCTTGTTCTCTGCAGGGCCAGCCCTCGCGAGTCTATTGCGGCTTTCCCCCCCGCGCGCGCGTGCGCGCCCTCCCGCCTTGATGCCTGCTGCTGCTGCTTTCTTCTTCGTCGTCGTCTTTTTCTAAATCTTCCCCTCCAGGGGGAGACGGAGAGGCGCGGGGCTACCTGCACCCGCACGACTCGACGACCATGTCCTCGTACTGCTTGTAGACGACGTTGTTGCCGGCGTCGGTGTAAAGGATGCTGATGGGGGTCAGCTTGGTGGGCACGCAGCAGCTGGGCGGCGTGGAGCCCGGGTCCATGGAGTTCATGAGGGTCTGGATGATGGCGTGGTTGGTGGGCTCGAGGTGGGAGCGCAGCGGAAAGTCACACACGCCCTCGCAGTGGTAGGCCTCGTACTCTAAAGGCGCGATAATCCAGTCGTCCCAGCCCAGCTCCTTGAAGTTGACGTGCAGGGCTTTTTTGCTGCACCGGAGCCGGGCTTTCTTGCCGTGCCGCTTGCCGTGCCGGTTGTTGTAAGCCGTGCGCCTCGTCCGGCGGCTCTGGAAGCGCAGGTGGCCGTGGGCCGCCGGTGCCCGGGAGAGCGCATGCGCGCTCGGGTGGCCCGGCTGGTTCTCCCTTTCTTGGCGAAGCTCTGCGAAAAGATTCTTCAGCCTCGAGCGGGTGAAAACCACCAGCAGCGCTTTCTCCTGCTGCGGCCGCGCGCCCCGTCCCAGGCCCAGACTGCGCAAGTCCAGCATCTGCCCGGGCCCGTGAGTTCGAGTCCCCCCGACGGCCCGCAGCTCCAGGCAAAGTTGCTGCTGCTGCTGTTGCTTCCGTGGCTGGCGAGGCTGCAAAGCCTGCCACACATCAAATACCTCCCAGTCGCCATCGGCTCGGGATGACGCCTCCTTCTGCAAGTCCAGAGCCTTGGAGTCCAGGAGGCGGCCCGAAAGGCAGGGCGAGACCTGCAAATGGGCCAGGCCTGTCTGAGCCTTGGAGAAATGATCGCCAGGGGCTTTGCGAAAGAGGCGCAGTTCGGCTCCCACCAGCTCCTCTTTGTCTGCGAGAGTCGATACATCAAACAAATACTTCTGTCTCCTTAAAGCGCTGGGCGAAAGATCGTCTGCAAGATAAAACGCAATAATTGCAGTCAGTTTCGCCTCTCAAGGGGGGAACTTCCAGGAAGGGGAGGGAGAGGTGGCCTCGCCCAGGTGCTTTGGACTTCTTCAGCAGCCCAGACACCACCCTCGGAGAAGACAGTGGNGGGGGGTTAGGGAAGACCGCAGTTTATGTACCCGTGTCCTAATGACGGGGCCCGCAGATTCCAATCGAAACCAATGGGGCTTGTTCCCTAATGGCCCTTACAATCCACGCCCATCGAAAACGGAATGACCAGTTTTCCAGATCCGCGAAGGCTTGGCAGCTGTGGCCCTCCCGAAGGTCTCTAGTTGAGGCGAAGGACTTTTAACTCCCAGGACCCTTCCTCATTGGCTGTGCTGGCGAGGGAGGTGTGCGTCGATAAAATAAGACCCAAGGGGCCATAATTTGCCCACCTCGGTCTACCTAAAAGGGATTTCTAGCTGTCATCAGCTGCCTTCTTGCTTAAATTTATCTTAAACTTCTGGCTCCGAATTCCCAAGCCAGTGAGGGTGTGAGGAGCGCTTAACTTCCCACCTATCGCGCTATAGATCACATAACTTCGTTCCGCTTCCAACAATCCGAGCTAATAGAGTCCTTGAGGGCGGGGAAGGTTAACGGAGGAGGATTATTTTAATGAATCGCCCACCTAACTCTTCCCCTCTCTGCTAAAACTCCCCTAAAAGAGAGTCCAAACTATTGAGAATAAAATAAATGTGAGCTGTTCAGAATCCTCGCTTTGGTGACGGTTATTAATAACGGTATATTATTATTACCATTCCTCTTCTTTTTTTAGAAATTATATTGAGGCTATGTCTCTTGGGGAAAGATGCTGTGTTCACACAGAGAAGCACCAAATTTATTTAAAAAAAAAAAAACATTCAATACACAGACGTCTGAGTCGCGAAAACCAAACCAGGTTCCCCTTCTCTCCCCCACCCCTCCTCTTAGCTGCTTTCCAATAAAATGGTTTACTAGCCAGCAAATACAAAATACAAAAAAATCCCCGCAGCCTCTGAGTTTCCCCAAGGATCTAGTAAAAAGCCTATATATATATTTCGATAGTAAAAATGTCACCACAGAGCTGCGCTGTGAGCCTCGATCTGCAGCACTTCCAGCCTTGAGACAGAAAAACTAAAAGGACTGTGAAGGCCCGGGTTATTTACTGCCCAGGAAGGTCACAATTAATACTTCTGATCTGTATGTTTTGCCAGCTGAGGGGTCCGCTTGAGAAGACCCGGTGGCGAGGATCCTCGCCCAGGGATAACCGAGGCCGAGAGGTATTTGTCGTGGATTGTCCGCTCCCCCGCAAAAGAGGCAGGGAATAACCTAGTTGGCTTAATATTATATCTGCGATAGACGTAGATTTCACTCGCAGGACCAATTTGATGTTTTGTCATCGATCAAACAAAAATTGGCAGCAAGCCCACTAACCACGTTTTCAAAGACCGCATCCGTGGGAAATAAGTCTCCGCCGCCTCCGCCCAAGTAAAAGCGTGCAGAATTCTAGTTTTTGCACAGCCTGGATCTTGTGATTTTTAAAATTATTATTATTATTATTCGGATGTCAGACCCACCGAGTTCAAAGGTGATTCGCTTCTGAGCCACGGAGCACGGGGATTTTCAGACAGGGTGGTATTTCAGCTACAGACTCCCCTTCCCAGCGCGGAAGCCTTTCTTTCTTTCTTTCTTTCTTTCTTTCTTTCTTTCTTTCTTTCTTTCTTTCTTTCTTTCTTTCTTTCTTTCTTTCTTTCTTTCTTTCTTTCTTTCTTTCTTTCTTGTCCTTTAGACACATAATGAACTACAGTTACCATCATCCCCAGACCATTATTGAGCGTGATGATAGTTGTAGGGCAACACGTCTGACGGCCGCCAGGCTGGGGAAGGGCCGTGTGCGACTAAGGAAAGGAGGGAGGACCTGTTAATTGTGCCGGTATTTGCAGTGCCACTGCTTAACTGCTCTGTAGAAAGATCCAGCTTCCAAACTTTTGAATCAAAGCAGGCCAGGCAAAGGGAGGATTTCGTCTTCAGGGGGTTCATCTGATGCAATCTGTCACTTCCAGATTTTTGAGGACTTGGGTGGCCTGAGCATACTGTTCCTTTTGATCCTTCCAGTGGAAGCTGGAGAAAGGACTGTAATTTAAATGGAGCACTGCAAAAGTTGCCCTCCCATTGGAATATGGGTCCTTTTGGACAAACGAGACAGCAGTGGAGAAATGGGGCAACCCTGCCTTTACAGCACAATCTAGTGCATGTCTCCTTTATTTCGATAGGACTTTGGAGGAAGTGGTATCTGGCTGCAGTCTTTCTTCGCCGACATTCATAAATCCCACTGACCTCCAAGTGGAATGAACCTCTACAGAGTTGTGTATCTGCCCTCTAGATGTTTTAGTCCACAACTCCCATCATGGTCAATGGCTATGTAAATTTAAGTCAGTGGGAGTTTTCATTTGACACATGTGGGGGGGGGCAGCAGATTGCATAAGGCTGCTCCTGACCACTACACTCACTGAATGCAGGGATACAGGAATAGTATGCACTCTTGACCTCTCCTTTGCTATCAAAATTGGTGCCCTGTCACCGTACAGAAACTTTGTATGACCTAGAGCCGTGGTTCCCAACCTTAAGTCCCCATATATTCTTGAACTAAAACTCCAAGAAGCCTGTATCACTAGCTGTGCTAGCCAGGATTTCTGAGAGTTGTAATCCAAGATCATCTGGGGACTCAAGGCTGGGAAGCGCTGAAGTCCTGGAGGATGCCTAGTTATCATATGCATCATATTCCCACATCAGCTCATTCCCACAAACACACACACACATCCAAGCAAGTGATAAAAGCTGTGTGTGCAGGAAATAATATAACTGGAATAGGGCATCATTCTTCTTCTACATTATGATTCTCAGTGTCACATATCAGTAATACAAAACTGTACTAGCGAAACCTTGCTTCAAATCCTTCAAAAGCTATAAAGCTTCCTTGGTAACTACAGTCCAGTCACTGTTGTTCTTCTTTGGTCTAACCGATGCTAGAGGATTGTATGAGGATAAACGGAGTGGAGGGGAAATAACACAGGATGCCCTGTGCATCTTGGAGAAGAAAAACAAGATGGCAAAGTAATAAATATAATGTATGATCTGGGAAGGAGGGCACAAACCTTTCTTTTCAGAGGGAAAAGCCCACTGCTTGTTCCATACAGGTGTGTTTGCAAAAAAAGAATAATAATAATAATGCTAGGGCCTGTTTTAGAATAACTTTTCTTAACCTGGTGCCCTACAAGTGTTTGGGGCTACAATCCCCACCAACCCAAGATAGCAGGAATACTGAGGCTGAAATCTTGTTGCTCAATGTAGTAAGTTGCAACTAAAATAGGCCTTATGGAAGAGTTGGCACTCCAATCATACGCTGTGCATTTGCTTGGGAATGTCCCATTGAGCTCAAGGGAACTGATTTCTTTAAGACTCCCATTGAGGAACAGCATGGCCTTCTTTTAAAAGTGGAGGTGGAGGGAGATGGAATGTGTGCCAGTTGCAATGAACATAGCAATATCCTCTCCATTGTTATTTTTTTAAATTAAACTTTGATCATCTCTGTCCTTAAAACACCCTATGAAAGCATGCTGATTATATCCCCCTAGCACTCAAAAAAATTCAAAACATTAAGTTTATATCTGATGGTGTGAATTTTTCAATGCTCCTCAGCTGTCTTCTGTCAACTGAGTGACAACTGGCAAGGTATTCCGCAAATTTGTGTGAGGAGGAGCTATGAAGTGGACATGACAACTAAAAGCAGTTTCTGTGTGTGTAGACAATTGATCCTTGACACCGGTGACAATTTGTATGGGTGGGTGGGGAGTTTGTTCTGCTTCCAGATGATAGTTCTTTGGATAGAGGATGCTGGCCTAGATGCAGAGCTTGTAAAAGGTCCAACCCTCTCCCCCCCCCCGAAAGTAATAATTGTGCGTTCTAGGAGTACAGTATTGCAGTAGAATGTAACTTAAAAAAAAAAAAACAGGGGAAAGAGAAATTGGCCATGCTGGCTAAGAGGGGTGTGAGAGCTGTCATTCAAAAAAGCAACTTTTCCAAATTCTGCTTCAGTTGTAATTCCAGATTTACTTGGAATCCCTACTTAGAGCCTGATGGTTTTCAACTGGAAAATAGTTTAGGAGAGTAACCCCTTCACCATTATTGATGGTTCTTGACTAAACATCAATCTGATCCCCTTCATTGGAAATAAGAATGATTCCAAGCTCAGATGTCTCCATTCCCACTGGCCCCCACAAAAGTGAGAGGGGCTCCATCAAGCCCATGTTTTGTTGATTAACCTTCATCCCGAATAGGTCTAAGGCCTTCTTTTCAGCTGTAAACTAGATTAATGTGGAAGGTCTCATCTAAGTCCCAGTAGAAGTTTCATTTTCTAAAAGGTTCATTATCTAAAAGGTTCAGATCAAGTTACTGAAGGCATAAATGCAGATCTTAACTAACATGGAATAAATGGCATTTCTGTTTGGTAGAACTAACTTCCATTGGAAAGCAATATTTATATAGGATTGATTTGCAAGGCAAATTGGTAGTTTTTTTTAAAAAAAGTAAACAGATCTGAGGAGCTTCACTCACTGCTGATGTTCTTGGTGTTTTGTTTTGTTTTTTTAACTAATAGGTTTTATATGCCATTGTAGTTATGGTCATGAGTAAGTCCAGAATAAAGCCATGGCACCTAGATTCTGGGACTTGCAAGCTCTGATATAGTCAGACAGAACATGTAGCCCTCTGAGGATTTTGGAAATTGTAGTCCCCAAAAGTAACATTTAAAACCTATGGGTAAACCCAGCACTCATTGCATACATCTGATCGACAAAGGACACACCTCGGGTCTGTGAATGTGTACAGTGAAAGAGAAAGAGCAGGGGAGTTTAAAGAAGTCTCCTGTAATTCCTTCTGGAGACTAACTGTTTTGACTTCTGCCCTCAGCCGGATCCATCCGTCCTG